ATCTAAACCTTAATTCTCAATAAAGAACTTCTGTTTTAGATACTCCAGAAATAAAGTCTAACTGGTTAGTAATGTGTGAAGTTGGTGTTGCTGTTTGTGGATAGGTCCTTTTTTTCTGAGGTCAAAGGTCTCATGTGGGGGCCCCTGAAGAGCAAAAAAAAATTATTATATCTTCAAGAAATAGACTGTATTTTAATGTTGTTTTAACCCTTTCCCCAACTAAACTAAGAGAGAGTTAAAGAACCTTTAAAGAACTGTACAGGGGCTTACAGGTTTTACGGTAGTGGTACTATATAGCACCTCATAGACTCCAAAGAACCGCTGAAGAATCTTACAGGGGCTTAACAGGTTCTTTATACGGTAGTGGTACTAAATAACACCTTAACCACTCCAAAGAACCACTGAAGAACCTTTTTTTTCAGAGTGTAGAGCCATAATTTTAAGTCAGAGGTGTCAGGAGGAATTTTTGATCCAAAAAAATCTAAAGTTTAGAAAGCTTCATTTTTGTCCGTTTTTTCTATACTGGTGGGGACGTCGCTATTGTGTTTTACCACAAACCACCACTGGGTGTCACTATTATGAATTATCTATAGATGATCTATTTTTATACAATTATAAGCCATTAAAAGATTAACAACAAAAATTAAATTTAGATAATCATTAAAGATATGTTTAAAAGAGAGAATTGTGTCTGTATTTATATTTTATCTTGCCTTTCACTAATTCCCATCAACTGTATTTGAATAGACCATTTCTGGGGATGTAAACAGTGAAAAAAGCCTTACCCCACCTGTTTAACATCTAATTTTCTTCAGTTTTGAGAATCTGAAAAGGCAAGTCACGTTGTATGACAAGCAGGAAATGTTCATGGAGCACTGACACCATGGGTATCATGGTCTTAGCTAAATAACGATGATCTGTGCATACTGGAATCCACTCTCAATTAAAACACCACATGCCTGGCATTCATACTGCTATAGATTTCTATAAACACTAGGCTTGTAACAGTACACAAAACTCTGGAGTAGATGAATAGCGAAAGTGCATCAATTTTTTATTCAATAGTCAATACTACTTTTTAAATATGCAACAGGCTGCATATGAATAAAAATGTGCAATTTCAGCTTCATCAATGTTCACAACATTTTTTTAACTTGTCAGTGTGTTAACTTGAAAGTTTTATTAATGTACTGAAATTTGTTTGGTAAGCAAACACATTTTGAACGTGTTGCCTTCAACAAACAGAAAAAAAATATCTAGGTAAAGGCCCTTTCACCTTTGCTTTTACATTTTTTGCTTCAAGAAACCAATATGAACTTGTTGCCTTCAAAAACATAGTTGGAAACAACATCTAGGTAAAGGCCCTTTCACCTTTTCTGTTACATTTTTCGCTTTAAGGAATCAATACGATTTTTAACATAAAATTTCACCGCCTCCAGAGGTGGACAATCCAGGGGTCAGAAAGTAAAAGTCCTGCCAT